AGAGGAGAGCCAGTCTGTGGCTATCCAGACGTAGCCATTCCCTGTCATCCCAAGATACTTGGCAACATTGAAAACCATAAATCCTGAATCAGGATTTACATGGAGAACAATGACCCGAGATTGCATTAGAGCCACCTTGACCAGCAAATCCGTGATTTCACTCCGACCAACTCCAGGTCCTGATTTAATTCCTGCCTTGTAAGAGATTCTACAGCGCCTAGCTGCGAGTTGACCATCTAAGGCTGACACGCCATTTCGTCCAAAATCATCATCTATAAATATAGCAATGACCTCCCTCCAACCATAATAATCAACAATTTCAGCAATTGCAGCCATTTGGTACAAATCACTCATCGTTGTTCTCACAAGAAATGGGAACTGCAGGTTGGATAGAGTTGGGTCCGTTGCAGCAAATGACAAGAGAGGGACATGAAGCTCATTTGCCACATGGGATATTATGTGAGCAACAACGGAAGATTGTGGGCCTATTATTGCCACCACATCAGTCTCCATGAACCGCAAAGCTGCAATTCGAACAAAAATTTTACACGGAGTATGTGAAACAACAAAAGAAATAGCGCAAAGAAAAATATTAGTAGGTTACCTTGAACCAAGCCCAAGAAACCACTGCAATTGGAATTTTGCTCAGTGAGGACGAGTTTAGTTCCACGGAGTATGCTAGCATTAGCATTTATATCCTGCACTGCTTCCTCCAACGCGATTTTGGCTACCCTCCCAATAGTAGAATCAAAGTTGAAGATAGCCCCAATATGCACGACAACCGGTCTTGATGAATTAGCACTGACCACACATGGAGGTACTGTGAAAAGCACAAGCACCCAAGAAACAGCCCAAAGCAAATTCATGGCTGGTGAGAGAAACAGGGAGGAAACGAAGACTTGAGGAGAAGATGATTATTAAGTAGAAGCATCTGATTCTGATAGAAGAAAGAACGAAAGTTCACGAAGCTTTCAAAAATCAAAAGGCGGAAGAAACATGTGACACATATTCACCGTACAAGGGTTGGATCGAAGGACGCAAAACAAAAGGAGCTTCAGCTAAATTCTCCTAATCTCCTCCATTTCTCTTGCCCTGCCTTGCTTTGCCCTGGATAAAAGGTTAAAAATACAGTGTAGTATTTATTTACAAGGTAATGCAATGTGACAAAACCCAGATGCAGGAGTTTATGCAATACTCCGTCAAGGGACCTATTTCATCATCTTCAAAATATAAACATTTCTTTTTATTTAGGTTCAAAATATAAACAAATTATCTATTATATCTAAAAAAATATTTTTTATATTTATTAACTTATATTTTTATGTAACTTTATCTTTCACGTGCATTAATAATTGAGACTATAATTAAAAATAATAATGTATAATTTGACGGAAATGAAAGCTTTGTATATAATTAACTTATATTTTTATATTTTAATCGGAGGAGTACACAACAACTGCCATTGATTCGAGAGGATAATTTTCTTCACACCAATCATTAATTAATTGAGAATGTTAAATAAATAAAAAGCGTTTTCAAAATGCTGAATTCTATGCAGAAAAATACCCTTTTAATTTATTGCTTTGATGCGAATAAACATTTCATACGCGCTCTAGTTTGGCTCTCAAAGGCTGATTTAGATGCGGAGGGAGTTCGTTAAATTGATGGGATGAAGAAAGGAATTTTTACAAGTGGGAACTTTTCTTCTGTATTTTCTCCCTTTTTTGGCTAAAGTAGAAACTGTTCTAAGTTTCTTGTATGCAATGGACAAAATTATTTTTTATTTTCATTTCAATATTATTTATAATATGTTTAGAATCATATATTTATTATAATTAAATTATCATTTTTAAGTTATTTAAATATAAAAAAGATATGTCTATTTTTTAATTAATCATTTTTACTCACAGTTATTAAGTTAAGATCTGATTTGGTTACTAAAAATAAAATAAATTAAAAAAAATTAAAATAAAAATGAGCTAAACACATTCCTTCAATAATAAGTATGATAAAATTTATTAATATATATTATAAATGTAAGAATAATTATCCTTCAAAAAATATTATGAACCATTATTCATAAATTCATGAATTAAATTACCTCATTTCTTACAAATATGCCTACTTATCTCCTTAATAATTTTATTTTTATTTTTATTTTTTAATTCATTTTATCTCATTTCTTTTTAATAAGCAAATGGGACCTAAGGGAAATCGATTGTTTCCGATGTTAACAAAAGAAAAGGGAAATGATGTGCATGCAAATTTACTGAAAATAAATACAGTTATGAATTATTCTCATTCTATTTATTGAGTAAAGAGATAATTTTTTTAAACTTTATTTATAAGTCATATTAATAATTTTTTATCATAAATTTTTTCTTTTACCTCCATTAAATGTTAGAAAAAATATTATTAAAATATGTATATTTAATTGGGATAAAACTGATAATTTATTAAATTTTTAAATAGTGTTAATGAGTTTTTTAAATTTTTTAATTTTAGTGAAAGATGTTGAAATTAATTTAAAAATAAAATTAAAAAAATATTTTTAGTATAAAAATGTAGACATGACTCTTTTTTCAAAAACAAAATAAAATAAAAGCTAAAAGTATACAACGAGTGGAACTTGGAAGCCTGAAGGAAAGACTTGTTTTTGTTGTTGTCGTTGTTTTTTTTTTTTAAAAAAAAAAACAATAGATTCGTCTGGGTTTCACGTTGCGGCCACCTGAAGGAAAAAAGAAAAGAGAAAAGGGAATTCGGGCATGCTTTTTCCATGATCTTTCTTCTGGTGGCCTCTTTTCTTCCTTCTCCCTTCGTCCAATGCCTCGACAGTCCATAAGACGGAAAGTAAAAGTAAAAATGAGTAAATGGTGAAATACAAAAGCAGCAGGCATTCGCATCGCATTAGGGCCTATTAATTAGCACCAGGGTGCGTTATAATATTATTCTGATAAATATGTATAAATATGACATATTTTGAATAAGTTCGCACGTGGCCCAAAAAAGTTAGTATAAAACTAAAGAAAACGTAACTTTATACCCCTATATTTTATTCATATTTTAATAGGTATCTGTGTTTTTTGTTATTTTTATGGATTCATATATTTTTATTTTTTAATATTTAAAGTCTTTTTAAAGTTAATAAATCAGTTTGGTTTAGTTTTTAATTTAGTTTGGGATAGTTAATGTTTAAATCAAGCTTTAATAGATTTATTTGATTTTTTTTCTTTTTTATTACTTACACTTAATATGAGTGTGCATTTTTTCTTGTGAAGTGTGTTTATATAGCCATTTAATAGTTAATATGATTTTTTATTTTCCTCAAAATATTTTTAATAACACGAAAATACTAATAACAAAGTGATCACACATATACATCTTCAAACCATTAACTATTAAAAACTAATGAAATTACAAGTATGTTTCAAATTATATAATTTTAGTTCACTTGAACTTGATCAAAATATATTTATTATGAATTTATGATAACATTTGAGCATTAATTTTTGCAAAAAAATATAAAACAAAGTTAGTTACTTTAATTTGCAAAAAAATACTAATAATAATAACTTTTTATCATTAAATATATATAATAGCATTTTTTCTTGCAGACAATATTTAACTAGTTATAAGCAATTGTCTTTAGACAAATATCATAAAAATTATGAATAATATTTAATCAATTGTATCACATTTTTGACCATCAATTTATAGATAACTAAATTTAAGAAAGAGACAAAAAATTTAGATAAATTTAAAAAAATATATAAAATAAATATAATAAAACTTCATTTTTTGATGCAAGTTTAAAGAACAAAAACTTTGAACCAAACCAATTGCTTTTGTTAAAATAAAAATCAAATCAAACTTTATTTATAATCAATTTTAATTTGTTTATTTTGACTTAGTTTGATGTCATTAGCTTAGATTGGTTTTGAACACCTTTATCCCAAGGGCACTGCACCAACTGGAAAATTGAAGGGCAAAAAATAACTAGAATCGATATATAATTACTGAAAAAACAATAATCATACATTTTTATATTATAAAAAATTTTAAAAACAAACTGCCGATTTGTTATAAATTTCATCAAATATATTGATATTGATCAACAACAACAATTACAACAGAATAAGATAAATAAAAGGAAAAATGACAAAAAAATTATCTGAAATATATAAACGATAACATAATTTCACCAAGTGTGATAATATTTTATAAGTCTCTCGGAACCTTTTTTACATTAATATATTTTGTAAAATGACTACAATAACTGACTAGTTTAATTTAAGTAATAATTTTTTTCTTTAAAAAATGATTAAAATAGAATAATAAGACAAGTTTTGTTCTATAAATTTTTTATTCACCAAAGTCAAGCATTGTGAATATCAATGAATGTTTTCATTTAAATAATGATTATTTTTTTTAATAATAACTTAAACAATATAAGTAATTGCAACTTTTTCTTTATAAATTTTTTAAGTATTAAGATTTAAGTATTATAAATATTAGTGATTACTTTAATTTAAATAATAATTATTTTTTTAACAATGACTAAAATGAGATAGCAAATAACAAGCCCCACTCTACAAATTTTTTAATCACTAGTATTTCTTTTATATTTTAAATGAAGATATTATAGTCATTTCATAAAAAGATATTAATCCCAAAAAATTCTCAAAAAATTTAAAAAATTATCATACTTTGTGTGATATCATTATCATTTGCATATATTTTAGGAGAATTTTTTTTTCTAAATAAAACGATGTTTTTTTTGGGCCGCCAGAGAATAAAACGAGATGATATTCACAGCGTAAGGAAGGAAAACAGAAAGATGCATCATGCAAATCGTGAAAAGAGTGGGTGGATAGGATTAGCATGTGGGCTTATGTGTAAGTTATAATTATTGCAGGAGAGAGAATAAGACTTCACCTGTGTGAACGAACGCACTCAATCATTGTCCATCTTCGAATCCGAATCCGAGGCCGTTGTCCTCAACGCCAACCCAACCAGGAGCGACTTCAGCCGTTTACTTAGATGTGAGGCCATCCAACGGGTGGGACGCAGCTGCAACGCCATCCATCAATAATGATTCTCCACGTGTCGAAAGGTTACAGGTCAATCGCCGCTGGCCAACCGCATCCTCTAATATGTCGTCCAATCTCCCCATCCCAGCGGCTTTTTGGCTCTCTCTGTCTTCAAACATCCCACTAGGTTTTCGTTGATAATTCGATAAGGAAATCTAAGCATAACGACAGTCGTATTCTTCGTCTCTATGCCGTGAGAATTTCTTCCTCCTCCTCTTCCCCTCCTCCTACTCTCTGTAATTTTAGCAAATTATAACACTATTCGTTTTTACCTGTTATTCAATCAATTCTCGGGTTACGTCTCGCCTCATACGATGTGAATTTTGTGACGATCGATCTAGCTTTTCGCGAACTTGGAATTTCCGTCCCGGGCTTTCTGTTTCTTACGCTTGCTTTACGCTGCCCATTTCTTGATTTCTCCTCTGCTGCTTATCTCTAATCCCCAAGTCAATACTAGGCTCTGCAACTTATCTTGGAATCGTTGAATCAAGTGATTGCTTTCGCGGATTTGAACACTTGCCACCACAACTTAGACCTTCTTTAAGGGGAAGAAGCCAGACTTTTCTACCTCCTCCTCTGTGATCGTACAATTAAGCAAAAAGGGGTTACTTTTTAATAGTGAAGTTCAATATGGGGGATTTGGAAGAATGCAACTCCTTTGAGTTGTTATTAAAAAATTTATGATTTCAATGCGATTATGGTTGCGGGAATGGATTTTTCTCCGCCGTTTACCATAATAGAAGGCACTCAAGGTAGTTACAACAAAGACAATGCATCCATCATGGAAGAAGAGAAATCAAGAGATTTGAACAAAGTGAAACAAACTACAATTGGTAAACCCCCGCGGAACCTCTCCCTCTTGAGACATAGCATCAGCTCCAACAGGTTGCAAACTGCTGCAGATTTGGTAAGTTCATCATCTTTATTTACTATACATGATTCCCATTTCCATTCTTTCTGGATTCATGCTTTTCTTGCTTTGCAGTCCTCCCTTGTTGTTGATCTTCGCTTTCTTTTTCTCACTGGCAAAGATTTTCACTGAAGTTCGTATCTTTAGTGTTTAACTATTCTTTGTCATAGAAATTTGGCAAGTACAAGTTATCTAATTTATATGTTCTTTCTTTGTTTTTTAAGAGTTCTGATGCAGGGGTTGTTGGGAGTAAATCATCTTCTGACGAGAAGGCAGAGTTTCAACCCATATATCGGTCAGGAAGTTGCGCTGAAATTGGTCCTAAACAGTGCATGGAAGATGAACACATCTGTGTTGATAATCTTATTGAGCAACTAGATTCAGTTTCAGAAATTCCTTCTCATGGGGCTTTCTATGGGGTTAGTGTGTTTCGTTGCTTGACTTCATATGCGCTTGCCGTTGATGATCAAAAGGGTTGTACAGCGTGTGCGTGCTTAAATGTTTTTGTGTCTGTGTGTGTACAGGAGTCTATTATTTCTTTTCTAACTCTGAATGTATACTTGAACAGTTTATAAATTTCTATTCATTTGTTTAGGTGTTTGATGGTCATGGTGGGACTGATGCAGCTACGTATATAAGAAATAACATCCTCAGATTTATAGTTGAGGATCCTCATTTTCCAACTTACCTAGAGAAGGCAATTAAAAGCGCCTTTCTGAAAGCTGATTATGCATTTGCGGATGCTAGTTCGCTTGATATCTCCTCTGGCACCACTGCTTTAACTGCAATTGTATTTGGAAGGTAAGCGAGGTTCAATAACGGTTATCTTAGTCTCAATTCACTATCAGCTTTATTTAGGCAAGATATGGTTGGCTATATAGCATACTGGGTGTTGGGACATAAATATTGTTGTATCTGTGATTTGGGGTGGAGAAAGAAACCTAGGATTATTATTGAAACTTTGATTTTTGGCAGGAGCCTGATAGTTGCGAATGCGGGGGATTGCCGAGCCGTGCTGGGGAGGCGAGGGAGGGCAATAGAGATGTCAAAAGACCACAAACCAGATAGCAGCTCAGAAAGGATAAGGATTGAGAAACTTGGTGGAGTGGTATATGATGGATACCTGAATGGTCAGCTATCTGTTGCGCGTGCGTTAGGAGACTGGCACATGAAAGGTCCCAAGGGTTCTGCTTGCCCTTTAAGTGCCGAACCAGAGTTGCAGGAAATCCTCTTGACTGAGGACGATGAGTTCTTGATTATGGGATGCGACGGCCTCTGGGATGTTATGAGCAATCAATGTGCTGTGACCATGGCGAGGAGAGAGTTGATGTTGCATAATGATCCCGAAAGGTGTTCGAAAGAGCTTGTGAGAGAGGCTCTTAAGCGTGACACTTGTGATAATTTAACTGTCATAGTGGTGTGTTTCTCCCCAGATCCTCCTCCTCGGATAGAGGCTCCTCCATCTCGAGTTAGGAGGAGTATTTCAGCGGAAGGGCTCAATTTACTCAAGGGTGTACTAGATTGTACTTCATGATCACTTCTAATTTTATTCATATCACTGCTCTGCTGCTGCGCCTCTTGTGATGGGCTACTATTTCAGCAGAATGTTATTTTGATTTGATATTTTATAAAACCAACCTTCTAGTCCTGTACATGTTGGATATCTTCTTTTTCCGCGTTATCTTTCACTCCAACATCAATCAATGTGGGCAACGCTTCCCGCTGAAAGGAGAAGAAAACGGGATGGGAACCCACGGGACATATTGCTACGAAATAAAAAGGCTACCACATGAATCAAGCGTAATGCGACCCCTTTATCCCTTCACAATTTAGCACGGATATGGATTAAACAGTATCAGAACTAGCCAACTAAAAATTCACCGTCTCCCTAAAAATTATTCAAGGAGAACACTCAAAATCTCTCCTTGTTAAAAAAAGCAAATCTCTCCTTGTGATATTTGAAAATTAAGAAAAATATTTTAATAATTAGTAATTCATAAACTCAAGCCAACAGATCCGACTCACGAGTCAAGGCAAGGATTTTAGAGCATTGTTTGCGGTTGATCCAAAAAACAAAGATACAATATGTTCAAAAATCTAAGTATGGGGCATTCCACGTCAGAGTTGGATGAGTGAATTAGAAAACGAGAACTAATTATGACAAGTGGACAAAGTGGTCAACCAATTTTAACTTAAAGAACATCAACTTAAGTTTGTATCTTCGAAATATAATTGTAGAACAGGAGACATCTGCAGCAGCCCAAATATCCAGGGCTTTAGAGCTCTCCATCATCTCCATCAACGAATTCTCCCGGATGCGAAGCGCTGCATTACAAGGGGAAACAAATCCTCAGTCGCAATTATGGCTTACCCGATCATTTAGAGTAGAGTCCTAACTATTTTAAATACAAATATAAATTTCATCCTAAAAAGATGGTTATTAACCATCTAAACACAAGTAACAGTTTCAACATGCAAGGATAAAGCAATCTTCTATGCGTCAGTCACCTACAATCAATTGAATCAGCACAGGAAAGATGATCTCACACAGCAATGCTTACAGCAAGGTGCATCCTGACTGGAAAACCAATTTTCAATCAAGCATATAAAAAACGTCCTCACCAATGCTGCGATTCAGTTAGATAAAATGAAGTTCTATCATCAATAAAGTTACCTTGTCTGAATGCAGTGCTTGCTCAGATCTTCACAAAGAACCTTGTTCACATCTCCCACTTTAACAGATCCTTCCTTTATCAAATTGGCCAACTGCAAGACTTAATGTGAATGGAAACAAATCATCATTAGCTCACTACTATATCACATCCATGTGGAGACTTAATATGAAAATTTACCTCATCTTCTGTTTGTTCCAGTAATCTGGTCATAGTACACAAGGGCAGTGTAAAAAAATTAATCGCTGCATATGCTGGAGCCTAAAGGCAAAGCATAACTACAAAAGGATCCCTGATCATCAAAACCAGTCGAATTAAAATGTCAAACTAGTTATGACTCACCTTCCACAATAAGAAGATATATCTTTCGAATATGCCCGAGCTTCTTGTTTATCTGTCAAGAGATGAACAGAAAATTTGTTGAGAAAACTATGAAAATCAATGAAACCTCCAAATTATTTAATTGCTGTAGCTTTAGGGAAAAAAGTAAAGCAAAAAGGGAAAATAATAATATTAAAGTGTTCAGTGCAAGAAGCAGACATTTGGAGTTTTGTCTATGCAATGTCAACATTACTCTATATGAAATTAAAACTTTTCACCCTTTTAGTTTTAAGCATACATATTGCAAGGTGAAATTTTAAAGTCCAAAACTAGACATCTACATTATTTCCAGTTGATGCATTAATGTATAAACGACGCAGAACAAGGTTCAGAAAACCTAGTTCTCAAATACTACATGAATCAAGGTTATTTTTCTAGTTTTCAGCAACAAGGCAATCGTGCTTCCTCAATTGATTATTGTAGCATATGTTCCTCTTTTGTATAAGAGAATTGTTTAAGCAACATCAACCCATTTGCGTTCAAATACAACAAGCACAATAAAGCTATATCTCTAACCATCTTTCATAATATGTTAACATATTGTCGCTGTTGAGCATTACAATTTACAAAGCCATCAAGCACTCAAACAAAAAGGACTAATAACAAACATAGCAAGAGCTCATGTTCAGCTATTACAATCAATCCTTGCCATCAAAACTTATATCTATCTATCTTGTGATGGAAGATCCGTCAACCTCTAGTTCTCATCATATGAACAGAAGAAACAACTACAATATATCAAACATAATTGATTGAGTGCATACTTGTTATGTTATCCCAGCTATCCACTTTGAACCATTCATATTTATTTGAATTTATCTGCAAAATTAAATGGAAATGGAACGTCAATAATAACCACTTCAGAAATCAGTAATAAATAAGACTTCTATTGAACAAAGAACAAGTAGAAGAAAAGCACGAGCATTTAGATGCAGCATCGCCAATTCCGCTACTGCTACGCATGTATTTCAGATCAGTGACTAGACACTACTACAACTTGCATCAGAGAATTCTGCATGTTATGGGAATGAGGAAAGCTACCAAAATAAATCAAGTTATACAGTATTGTAAAATCAAACACATCAAATAGAACAGGTTTTGCCATTGTAAGGTTGAGAAGAAAACTGGATTGTGACTTGGTGCTCATAATTACCTTCTTCAGTGTGTACTCTTGCATCTTTTCGCAAAGCTCATCGAGGAGTTCAACCACCCAAGCTCACTAACTCTGTCGTATTAAAAAGTTGCACAGTTATGTAGTACTTTGACAATAGTCCAACAAAACCAAGAATAAATAATTTTTTTCCACTTTGAGTGATCAACATACGCAGATGTAATTATAATAGTTTGAAGAAATCACCAATAGTTTCAGATGTCAAATTGAATTCTGAAATGAAAAGACATGGAGACTTCAGTAATCAACTTTTTTCCATGGACATTCAACAAAAGCCAAGTTTAAACTGTCCTGTCACTATTAAATTTGAGACAAGGAGATGTTGAAACCAAGTCATACCTGTAATCAATTACCTTTCCTACACGCTGGCCCGTGGAATCTAAGCGGTGCCTCATATCCAAATGATTCCGGGGCCTTTCCTGGAATGATTACAATGTCAATATGAGGATCAATAACGACCATCCCAACCCTTACAATTATGAATCATGGTTCTTACATTAGAAAGTCCCCGCTCTAGTTCCTCCTACAAAGTACAAGCCATTGGAAGGAACTATCAGATCCAACTCATAAAACACGACTCGTGAAATGCGAGAGGGAAGACTACTAGCCTCGAATCCGAAGAAACTGGAAACAAAGTTAAAAGTTGAGAACAAACAAGTTACCGCCACGGCTTTACAGGCGAGACATTTGTCCTCGATGCTATTAGCTGACGGCATGACTCCTATCAAGAAGAAGAATGCGAACAGACACACCATGGATATTGACATCCTCCCTCGCATCGTCTTCTTCGTCTTCCTGTCGCCGCTTCCTTGATCGTTTGCCCGTTTGCTTTTTTTAGTTTACTTTTGGGACTATAAAAGATCTGCAAACTAGTCTCGCCCCTCTCAACTCTCAAGTGGGCTCAATCTGGGCTCCAGACCTCTCCGGGAGGGCCCGTCAGGAGACCCAGGCTTGATGTCAAGCAAATAGATAATACAACTCCCATTTTTGAGGGATTCAGTGTGGATATGTCATTGTTTAATTTTCCAATGTAGTCTGGGCTTTTGGCTAAAAAAAAAAGGGCTTTGACCAGGAAAATCAAAGGATAATACAGCTATTGTAAATAAAAAAAATATAAATGCATTACATGAAATAATATTAAAAAAATATAACTTTTAATCGTTACACTTTACTCATATTTTGACATAAGTCTCTACACTTTTTTTGATGTTCTGAATTCCTACACTTTCATTTTTTAGTGTTTTAAATCTCTAAATGAACAAAGTGCAGGAATTTTAGAAGGATTTAAAACACTCAAAAATAAAAATGTAGAGATCCAGAACACTAAAAAAAGTATAAGAATCTATAACAAAACATAAGCAAAGTATAGGATCAAAAGTTATATTTTTTCAAATTATTTTGTCTACGACTTTTATGTTTTTATCCCTGTTATTGTATCATAAAATAATACATTACATAGATAAACATAAATTTGATGATAGAATAGTACGTGTACAGGAAACAAACATAATTTGAAGTTAATTGTGTGAGAAGCTCTCCCGTTTTTCTGGCCAATGTGAGAATGTCACGTTTAAAACTAAAGGAAACGGAATTAAATATTCACTGATAAAATGTCCATTCAATCATAGTATATTTATTGATATTTATTGAATCAAGTGAAAAAGACTTAATTATTCATATCTTGATTAATTAATAATATCAAATTCTATTCATTTTGTTGTACAAAGTTTGGCAGTGATTATCTACTACATATTAATTTTGTTAAATAAATTTATTCAAATCAAAGTTAAATTGTTAAATTTTTTTATACGTGGGCAATGAATTTTAAGAAAAAAAAAAGCTTTTGATTTCTATAATTTTATCCAATTTTGAAATCACTAAATCAGTCCCCAAGTTAAGCTCCCCTCCCCGCCTCCCTCCTTTCAGAAAACACTCTAATGGCCATGTGACAGCTGACCAGGATTCCCGTTTTCTTTTCAAAACAAGTCTCGAGTGTTTAAAGTTTTAACCGTTAAGGGACGACGTTCTACATTTTGTAGAAGGGACTAAACATGTGGCATTGACTCCATTAACTTTGCTGAGTTGATGACGGAGCGATGTGATAGCTGACTGGGATTCTCATTTTACACGTTAGACCACATTTAAATTAAAAAAAAAAAAAAACACACACACACACACACACACTACTTGTTATTAAGAATGCAACCAACAGGATAGCAATTCAAGTTCCTCTATATTTTTAATTTTTTTACTTTTTTTGCCAGAAAAGTTCCTCTATTTGAAAAAGAAAAAGAATGGAGTGTATTTCATGACCAGTAAGCTTCCCCTGGGGAACCAGGCCATCATAACACTCGAGCGAACGAACAAACCCAAACAGTTTCTTCCATTATCTTGGATAAGGGCGCAAGTTTTCAAGTGAACCAACCCACTCTGTTTTTGATCCAGAGACGTGCAAATGAACAGGAATTAATTACTCGTAAGTCGTAACAAAGGCTTTGCAAGCTCCTGTCATTCAACTTAGCATTACACAGCCAATAACAATATTTTAACTTCGTATGTTCCGGTCTTTCCCCAGGATCCCTCATTCACTCGTGCATCAACCGAAAAATTAGAAAATTAATTTGTCTTTAAAATAATACATGCCATACGATACAACTGTCCATCTTTACTTATAGCTATACACACAAAAATTGGCTACCATGCACAACCAAGGCATTAAGAAAGAAAGAAAGAAAGAAACAACAGAGAAACACAAGTTAAATCGCGTACTAGAATGCACTCCAACGATCAGAATCTTTCTTCGGCGAATGACTGTCTGAAGAAACCTTGAATGGGCCAGAGGAGCCAAATGGATCAGAATCGTCGAAAGAGAATGCACCTTGACCGAAGTCCTTGGTGCTACTTATTGAGTCAAACCTGGTATGTCTGTCACGACTAAAACCGAAATCATTGCTGCTGCTATTGATGGAATCGAACCTTGTCAGCCTCTCAGAATTATAGCCAAAATCTCTGCTGCTGTTCACGGAATCAAACCTTGTGAACTTTTCTTGATTGTAGCCAAAGTCTCGGCTGCTATTTATGGAATCAAATCTTGTAAGCCCCTCAGGTTGTGGAGAATATCCGCCATCATGGACGCTAAAGGAATCAAACCTTGACATGTTGTCAAAGAAGTGATCTCCTGCCTCACTGAACCTTGGAGAGTTGCCAAACTTGGGAGAGTTGCCAAATTTTGAAAGTGGAGTTGCTGGCACAGAATCATCAAAAGTAAATGGGCTCTTTGTCTGAAATGGGCCATCAGTATATGTAGATCCTGTCCTGACTGGGTTTATACCAAACTCACCAGATTTAAAAAAATCCCTCTGCTTCTCCGAGTCAGGGTCCTGCAAAAAATAAAACAAACATAATAATTCTGTTAGGTTTACATCTATCATCGCTTAGGTGTGTCCAAGATAATGATGTGGTAGAGATATTCGTGTTTCCAAAAATTTAAAGCAACTTGATCATTGATACTCGAATGAAAAACTTTCTGCTTATCAGCTTCAGAAGCCAATTGCATAGAGAATTTGCTGAACACTACCGCTTGACGTACTTTAAGATGCACTGAATTTTGTTAAGTGAATAACTAAACACTTGGACCATTAAAAAATCCTGGTTTTTGTCCATGTGAAATATTCCCTCCATTAAAAAATGTAAAGCATTTTTTGAGGAATTAGATGTTAAAAAACGTAAGATATTTTTAGTCTTTCAAGATGTAATTACTGCTTCTTCTTTTTTCTTCCTAAAAGTGCCCCTATTGATGAATGACTTGATATTTATTATAGGGTGTTTAATAGGGATAAATATGAAAAGATAGGGTTAGTTTAAAAATAGGTAACTACTTTATTGAGGGGTGAGATTTGGTTAAAAATGTCTTATATTTTTTAACGGAAGGAGTAAATATTTGCAACATTCTTAATAAGAACTGTCTGTTGACAAAATAGAGATAGCAAAAGTTAAGAAGAATGAAGGGGCAAACAATATATTATTCAAACACTAAACTACAGGAAGCTTGTAATCCTCAAAACCTTTTAAGAGGGAAACTTACAAGATTTTCCTTCAATTTCAACATCTATTATCAAGATTGATTCCTCCTCGCCTCTCAGGCTAACATATTTAAATTATGAAAAAAGCAACACTACTAAAAAATATAGTAATAATATAAATTAAAAAAAAACAGAAAAACAGTGTATTTCAGGGATTACCTTTGTATTGAAACCCCACACTGAATCCACATCATCGTTACTGTCGAAAACGCCCCAGGACGATTCATCAAAAACTCTAGCGACCACAAAAAGGATGGAAAAAGAAATAAGTCCTCAGCCAACCACCCCCCAGTTCCCCAAAAGGAGGGGGGCTTTCAGAGAAAACAAGAACAAAGAATTTACCTGTGTGACTCTGCGTCTGCTTCAGAGCTTTTTCCAAAAGCATTTGAAAATTCTTGAGTAGGGCTCCCACTAATAGTTCTTCCAGTGGGACTATCATGAGAGCTTCTCGCTAAGTCATCTTCGCTGTGTACATATGCAGATTCACTCTCAAGTGCATAATCGCCATTAATTGTAGATTTTCCTTTATTTTCATTCACATTCACAGATGAACCCTGAACTGAATTATCATCGTAGAAATCTTGTTCTTCCTGAACAAATGCAGGTTTGGGTTTTGAAGCAACACCATTGGCATCAACAGTGAGATCGTTGGCAAATCCTACAAGTTGAAAAAGTAACTACTAAAGAAAATTGCTTCATGAGAAAAAAGGGTCACTGGAAAAGTTTGAACAAATAAGGCAAACCTTCATCTTCAAATTTATCCCAATCTTCATCCCACTCAGCTGCTCCCTCTGGAATTCCAGGTTGCCAACCTTATGATTCATTAGGTTTATAACCATGCATGACAACAATGTCAGTTAGAATCGTTAAACAAGGTGATTATGACAATTTGTTACACTAAAAATGCTCATCCATAACAATAGCCACCAACACTCTCCCCGATTCCACTAAAGAGAAGGCACATACAGTATTGCATCACAATCAAACATGGAAGCTACATAGCGAAACATTTTATTTGGATCCAATTTTTTTCATTCGCAAATAACTATGACCAATAAAGTATTCATAATTCCAAATCGCCATAATGGGAGTGAAGAGAATTCTCTGAAAAACTATTGATAATGAGGAGAGATCAGAAAAATTAACATAAATAGTTTAGCTGTCAGCCAATATAGTCCTTGAATTTACAAAACAATCTTAAGCAAATGAAGGTTAAAAGGTGAAAAGAGACTTACATGAGTTGAAGATAAGATTAAGAATAATCATATGAAAAAAAGAAAAAGAAAATAAAAGCATGCATGACAAGAGAAGAGAATTAAAACGGGCCACAAAAGTGAGAAGAGATTATTTGACATTCACCAAAATCAAGTAAATATGGAGGGACGGGAAAGAATCATGATAAAAAGATAATACAAGAGATTAAATTTACCAAAAGGAAGTTCAACCATTGCAATGGACTTCACTTCTATCCCATGTTTCTTGCATCGTTCAGCTAAAGCCCTCATCAACTCCTCCAGATCTGACCGTACACGATCAGCTCGAACCTAAAGAAGTAGCTAACATCAGTAGAAAACAACAATTTCCATAGACTTTCATCTTTACTTAAAGGGTAAAATTTCACCTGAAGAATGCCATCTGAACTGCCTCCTTGTTCCATTTTGATAATTGCTTGGTGCAACTCTGTCTTCCTTTCCTAAAGATGTACTAAACAATTCTTAATTGATGTGTGGAAATAAACAATTTATCATCCTAACAGATAAG